CATGGCGCCTGGGTTCTGAGGGCTGCAGACTTGACTCTGGATCCTGCTGCTGCGTTCTCATCCCATGATTTTGGGCACATTCTCTTATCTCTTTGGCTCTCAGCTTCTTTAAAGTACACGCTGAAAGCTCAGTGGTTCTCAACCTGTGGGTCTCGACCCCTTTGGGGATCGAACAACCCTTTCACAGGGGTCATTCATAACAGTAGCTAAATGACAGTGATGGCGTAGCAACAAAATAATTGTATGGTTGAGGGGGGTCCATCACAACATGAGGCACTGTATGAAAGGGTGGTGGCATTCGGAAGCTGCTAGACTGTAGGGTTGTCTGAGTATTAAGTAGACGTGTGGGGAGGGACTACCGTGCGCTGTGTGCCCTAGGTCTGCCAGGAAAGCACACCCACTCCCATACTGAAAAAGGAACTGGGCTCAGAAACTGCCCACCATTAGGTGTCCGCTTGGACTCGAGTGGGGAGCACTGCCCCGCCCCCGCCATCCACACCTGTGGTGTCCTGGGAGCCAGAGTTACAACCACCCTGTCAGTCCAGCTCCTGGGCGCTCTGCTCTGGCAAACATGGCATCCTTTTCCAGGAACCCGCCCCTCCTGCTCTCACACCCGAAGTTCGTCAAAGTCTCGCCACCTTGCCTTTGGGCTGGACTTCCGGAAAGAGAGTCCTTTATTCTTCCGGGGCTATGGTGCTGGTGGAGTTCATGTTCAGCACGAGCGCCCAAAGGCAGCAGTTCCCCTGTGGTCTCCCTTATTCAGCATGTCACTGTCCCCGGCCCACGAGGGGGTTAAAACAGCGCACCTCCCTTCACCATCAGAGAGACATCTTCACCCCCTGACACTCTCAAGAGGCTCTTGTAGCTAATGTAGCTGGATTTCTTGACTGCCCAGTGGAGCCCAGAAACTGGGTGGCTGCCTTTTAACCTTCATTTACTTGGGGCCGAGAAAGTAGAACTTGCCCAAGACCACACAACCAGAGAACCAGATGTGACTCTGAAGCCCCTCTACCAGAGCTGGGGTGCCAGGGTGGGGCGTTTGGAGGTGAAGAGCTGGGTCACTTCCTCACCATGGGGTGCTGAGGTGGCCTGCTGGAACTCAGAATCCGGGCATTATCTGAGGGGAAGCCACGTGCCTGTCACGCTCACCCTGTGCTTCCCCGGCTCCTCCTCGGTGCACATCGACCCCTACGAGCACCCAGACCCGCTGGACACTCAGCCCCGAGTCAACCTGCAAAACAGCCCTCACCATCCTGTTGACACAAAAGCGCTCAGATCAGAACAGGGAAGGACTCTTCTGTCTTCCGGTCTGTTCTGGCTCACAGTGTGCCCGTGTGGGACAGTATAGAGTTGCTCTATAAGGTCAGAGCCCTGAGCACTGGGCCGCTCACTACAAGGTCAGCAGTTCGAAACCACCAGCCGCTCCTCGGGAGAAAGACGAGGCTTTCTACTTCCGTAAGGAGTGGCCATCACGGGAAACCCAGTCGCGGTTCTGCCCTCTGCCGTAGGGTCGCCTAGAGTCGGAACTGACTTGCTGGAAGTGAGCTTGATTTAGAGGTTTTCGACTCTTGGCAGGAGGAACCCTGGGGGCGCAGCAGGAAAGCACTGGGCTGCTAACTGCTGAGTCATCGGTTCGAGTCTGGGTGGGAGAAGGCTGCGACAGCCAGACTGATCCCAGAAGACGGCAGCCTGGGAAGCGCCCTGGTGAAGTCGGGCATCAACCTGGACTTCAGTCTCAACTGGACACTTGGCCAGGCCTGTCTTCCTCAGTGCTGCTGGGTGGATTTGGGCCTCCAGCCTTCAGAGTAGGCAAGAGCAGACTTCCCAAACCAACCCAACGCCTGGCCATCACGTCCGTCCGACTTCTGTCCACCGTATCGGACAGTCGCTGAAGCTGCTCCTGAGGGTTTCTGGGACTTCACGTCTTTAGGAGAGCAGACAGCCGTCTCGGTCTCCCAAGGAGCAGCTGGTGGGCTTGAACCACTGACCTTGCAGTGAACGGCCCAGTCCTCAACCCTCTGTTCCAGCAGGAACTTTAAAATCTCCCATAGCCACCCACATGCCTGCTCGGCCAGGGAGCAAAGGTGATAGGACTCTCCCTGGTGCAGGGGTGGGTGAGGAGAGGAACATGCTACAGGCAGGTAATAAAATCTCACCCCATCTTCTTCCTTCTTTTCTGTGCAGACGACAGATGGCTCTCAGTCCCTTCCTGGTTGCTGGTTGTGGCATGGGCACCATGAGGCTCTAATTAAGGAGCATCACCGGCCGAACTTTCTGAAGGAGGGTGGGAAACCAACACCCCTTTCATCGGCACCCCATAAGCATCCTTCGAGGCTCTCATGCTGAGGTTCCCTGCATGGATGAATCCCCCACCAGCTCTTTAGGGAGTGGGGAGGCACTGCCCTTGCACCTGATCCAGCCTCATCGAGGGCACCACCAGCCCCTCTGGGGTTTGCTGAAGACCCAGACACCATCGTTTCCCGGGAAGACGAATTCTATGCAAAAGGAGCCAATGCCCTGTAAGTGGCCTTTGTGACGGCCACAGCGAGTGCCCACCAGCAGAGCACCTGTCTCCCAGCGGGCCTGAGACCTCCCCTGTGTGGGTGCTGCCCTCTGATTGAGCTGCTGGCTCTGAGGTCTCTCTTTTAACCTCATCCTGCATCAGGAGTGCTCTCTTCCTGCCCTCCTGGCAAGCCAAAGATGCCGGCCCTAAGGAAGATGAAGCTGCTCACCTTCCTCCTCCTCCTCGTCTTCCTCACCTCCTTCTTCCTGAACTACACCTCCACCGTGATGACCACCAACTGGCTCTTCCGAAAGATCTTGAAGCTGCCCCAGAGGCCCTGCACCTGTAGCCGCTGTATCGGGGACCTCGAGGTCTCCAGCTGGTTCGCCCAGAGGTTCAACCAGACCATGCAGCCCGTGCTGACCGCCCACAACTCGCTGCTGGAGGAGGACACCTACAGCTGGTGGCGGGTGAGCACTGGGCTGCGGTGGCCTCAGGGCACATGCACCTGGGATCCCCCCCACCCGGCGCTCAGCATCATCCAGAACCCAATTATGGGCTCATTCACTTAAAAAGCACGTGGGAGAATTGTCATTTC